TCTCGTTCTTAACATAGTTGAGGATTTTATCTCAAAGCGAAAGGCCAAAGACCTAATACTTATAGAAAAGTACAAAGAGCTGCACCAGCCCCCTTCCCTTGAGTTGAAGACTCTGTTGTTACTTAGACGATACAGTGCTGACCTAAATACACTGAAAGCTAAGAAGAAGCGGAACCGCTTGTCGCCTAAAAATCGTAGAGCGATTCACAACAGACTTAAAGCGTTAAAACATCAAGTTACTCCCCCTTGTAAGTTATTGTTGCATTAGAAAAATTTGTGGATTTACTTGAGTGAAAATAAAGTATTTTCTAAGAGTCGTTTATTTCTGAAGTTATTAAGGATGGAAGTTAAGTTTCAAAACGTAGCAATCTCGAAAACGAACTTTATAAATGCCACGAGATAATTTTAGAATACATAGAGAGTCAGAGTCGTTGCTCAAAAATTGATACTTATATTGAAAAATGTAGGAACTATACAGAACAAGCGGTCGAGATAAATAATGAGTTGATTGATATGGCTGCAAAAAGTGCCAATCCCGACGAATTGATACCGGCACAGGATATGTTGCTTCATAAGTTGACTCAAAGCAACGATAAAGTTCTGCAGGAAGCTATCACATATAAAACAAGTTTTGAGGCAGTAACATAGCCGGACAAAATAGGTAGCAGCTCAAAAGTTTCTCATCATTCATAAAAAAGTGAAAAACCCCGGTCGCATAAAACAGGTGATCCGGGATTGCATTACATAATCACATTCACGGACAACATCATAATTTGTCGAATTTGGTCCGATCGCAAAATTCCGTTAACAATCCAGTAGGGTTACAACAGGTCAATCAACCTGTTTCTAATAATTTGCCTCAGCAAACTCTTTTGTTCACTCATCCGGCGCTAGTCAATCCAAACACAGGGTCAGTAGTCCCGGTAATTTTTGAATTTTCTTTGCTCCGACAACATCTGCAGAAGTTCCTTCTGGTGTAGCACCGTTCGTTCATGCATCAACAGCAGTTAATCATGTTTCTTTAAGTTTATCACACTACAGGGTCAGTAGTAGCTGGCTATCAAGCACCTGTAATCCCATCACAACAACATATGGGTGTTTCCGTTAGTAGTTATATTTTTTCGAGCGACCACTATACTCCTTATAGTAATTTGTGGAGACCAGCTGTTGCTGAACCTTTAATGTCAGCTCAACGACACTACATCCCTTCGACAACTGTTTTTTTCCGCAGTAACTCCGATTGTTCCTCCGAAAAATTTTGTTCCTTATACAAGTGGAGGGACTGTGTTCTCTGCACAGCCTGAAAATTCTTTCCATGCTAATCAAACGTTCGTTCCTGATTGTCACGGTAACTCTTCGAGTTACACAGAGCCAACTCCCGGTAATTCACCTGGTGCAGACGTCGAGCGTCCACTTTCGACACGAGAGTTGGTTAATATACTCATGCACAACCAAAAAGATCATCTCCCTGAGTGGAAGCTGACCCAGTTCGATGGCAACCCACTTAATTGGCATGAGTGGTTTGGGCAATTCACATCGGCGGTCGATTCAGCCATACTCAGTGACTCAGTGACAATGAAAAGCTTACCTATCTGAAAACGCTCGTAGTGGGTAAAACAAAATCAGCAATCGCTGAGTATAGCTATAGCGGAGTACTATATAAAGAGGCATTAGCAACTCTTCAAAGAAAGTTCGTGCAGCCGCATGCTGTAGTAGGGGTTCATATAGATAAATTGAGTAATTTTGCGCCGCTGAAAATGCATAACTCGGAAAATGAAATTGGCTTTTCCTCTAAAATTTCTGGACTGGTTGCCGTATTCATGTCCCTGTCTTTTAACGACGACCTGAAAAGTGTTAATTGACTGAATCAAGCTGTCAGTAAGCTTCCCCCGAACCTTAAGGAGGCATGGTCAATGAAAACCGTAAGACGCCAATTGCATAGACCAACTCTGCCAGATTTCAACGAATGCCTAAAGAAAAAGCGGAGGGGGGTCATGAGAGGCTAAAAACGATCAGTTCTAGGGGTAAGTCTGAGGAACCAGTTAAGCAAAAAGTAGGTACGAAAGTGTTTGCTATCAACGCAAATGTAAGTAAAAAGACTAGGGAGAAACCAAAGTACCCTCCATGTTCTGTATGTAAAGGTCAACACGCTCTTTGGAATCGCGCCGTTTTCAAAGAGAAAAACGCTACTCAGCGAGCGAAACATGTAGCCGAACAAAAACTTTGCTTTTCGTGTTTACAGAGCAATCACAGTTTTCGCAATTGTAGCAAGGCCAGAAAGTGCCCCAAGCCAGATTGTGAAAGCACGCACAACGTGCTTTTACATGGAGCTGAGAAAATTTTTCCTCCTAAGGATACCAAAAGTTCCCCGGCGTCAGGTAACGCAAGCACTAAACATGTATCGACTAACGCTGCCGTCGGCGATGTTCATAGCCAGGAGTCAACTAAAGGCCTCCTGTCAGTTGCATCACTCGCCGCCTCTTCGGATGCGACGATTACTAATGCCCTAGCTCTTTGCGATAGTGCTTCGACGCACTCATGGGTATCCGCCGATCTCGTAAAACGTCTCCATTTGGTTGGAACTCCCGTTAACCTCACCATAAATGGATTCAATTCCACGAGACGTGATGAAAACTCATCAAGTAAGTTTTCAAGTTTCCGCCGAAACGAATAATAGTGATTTTTCGTTTTCTTTTCGAGCTTATGTTAAGGATCATATTCGTATTGGATCGGATAGCATAAGTATTCCTGAATTACAGGAAAAATACCCGCAGTTGGCTCCGATAAAACCTATACATTATAAGTATGAGGAAGTCGAAATAATTATTGGACAGGATTTCTACCATACCATAAGACCCGTTGAGTACCTTCTGGGGGAGGACTCTATTTCACCGTGCGCCGTACGCCTTCCGATAGGTTGGGTTTTAAGTGGTCCGTTACCGCCGTCCTTTAATTCGAACTCGTCTTGCTTTAAGTGTGTTGTCGAAGACATGTCTCTTGGGGACCAAATTAAAACTTGGTATGAGTTGGAGTCATATGGAACCTTCAAGCAGGTAGATGCCCGTTCCGCCGCCGACAAACGCGCTTTGTCCGTTTTGAAAAATGACACCTTTCACGATGGTGAGAGGTACATTGTACCAATGCTTTGAACAGATAACAAAAGTACTTTACCGAATAACTATGTTTCCTCCTTAGCTCAATTAAAGTCTTTGGGAAAGAGGCTAGATAAGGATCCGTCGCTCCGTAAAAAATACGCCGAAACAATTAGAGAAGATATACAAAAAGGATATGTCATAACCGTTAAGGCACACGATCCCAAATCCCGAGCCGATCGGGAGTGGTATCTCCTGCATCACCCGGTGTTGAACCCGAATAAACCCAGTAAGGTTCGCCGAGTCCTCAATGGTGGATCGAAGTGTCATAGCGCTTCCTTGAACAAATCTCTGTTGGTTGGCCCGGATCTCCTTCAAAACCTCATTTTGTTTACTATTAAGGTTCCGTCAGCATGAATACGTCTTTTCAGCTGACATTGAAGGGTGCTTTTTACAGGTTGGAGTCCGGGAAGAAGATCAAACTTCTCTTCGTTTTTTTGTGGCGGGAGGACCCCACATCAAGTGTGGTAGTTCACCAATATACGAATCACTTTTTTGGTGCCCGTGACTCGCCGACTTGTGTGAATTTTGCTTTGCAGGAGACTGCATCGGATAATCAAACTGAGTACCCCAAAGCTGCTTCGGCTGTTGTCCAGAAATTTTATATGGAAGATTATCTGGATTCTTTTCAAAACAGGGATGACGCCTTGAAATAAAGTAGGGATTTAATCTCGTTGCTTAAACTAGGTGGGTTTTTGTCTGACAAATTTTGTCAGCAACGTGCCCGACGTAACAACGGATCTTAATCCGTATAACCATGAGTCCAATTCATCTGTTAAAGATATTTGTGCGAGTCCAGACCAGTCGTCGCATGTTCTCGGTCTTAAGTGAGATCACGTAAAAGATACCTTAGTCGTTAGTAGAGGGGTTGATCGTCCACTAGACAAAGCAATCACTCAGCGTACCGCGTTGAGTTTTATTTCTTCTGTTTTTGATCCACTTGGGTTAGTGGCTCCGTATACCGTGAAGGCTCGCCTTCTATTAAAAGATATCTGGCGAATCAGCGGTCAAAAATGGGACGATGATCTGCCAGAGGAAAACAAAAAACAATTTTTGAAGTGGCACTCAAGTCTTCATTTGTAAGGTTCTCTGACAATACCTCGCAGCTATTTCACTGAACCTTTCGACCGAATACTTCACATGTTCGGTGATAGATCGCAGGATGTTTTCTGTGCCGTCGCTTTCCTTCGTGCGCGACTTGTTAGCTCCCATCAGACCGAATTAGTCTTTGTGTTTGTCAAAGCCCGCGTCGTGCCTATGAAAGCGCTTTCTATTCCAAAGTTAGAGCTTCAAGCGGCTCTTCTTGCAACCCGCTTAAAGGAAGATATTTTGAAAGGTCTTACTTTCAAAGTTACGGATATTTTCATGTAGACAGATAGTACCAATGTTCTTCAGTGGCTTCACTCTTGTAGTAAACTACCCGTTTTTGTTGGTAATCGCTCTGGTGAGATTCTGGAGTCTACCAGCACTGATCAGTGGCATCACATACTTAGCGGTGATAACCCAGCTGATACCGGTACACGAGGGATTTTTCCGGAAGCCCTCAAGTAAAGCAGCTGGGTTAATGGCCCTAGCATATTGAGAACAACTGATTGGCCGTTCATGCCCGATACAAGGGTTATCGATAAAATAAGATTCAAAGGACCATCATGTGATATTGACATTTGTCTGGAAAATTCGTCAAATTTCATCGTCGATGTTTTGACAGAAAAAACTGTTTCCTTCGGAAAATGGGAGATATTCAATTCAATTGTAAAATACAAACGCGCAGTAGCATGTTTGTTGAGATGGCTGCCATCCCATAAACATTTCCGGTCGAGTATATTAGAAATTACAGACCCGTGTGAAATGGATATTGCTGAACAGAAGCTCATTTACCTGTCCCAGGGTGAAAAATTCCCTAGTAAGCTAAAACTACTAAGATCCGGTAAAGTTATCACGAGGAATAGTCGGATCGCCAAGTATTCGCCGTTCATTGGACCAGCTGGCATCCTTAGCTCGACTGGGCGCATCAGCCGCTTGGTTAACTCCGATTTCGACAGCAAGCATCCGATTATACTTGATCCTTGTCACGCGGTTGTTCGGTTATTGGTTCAACACTTGCACAGTAGGATTTTCCACCAAGGCTTGGATTACATGCGTGCGGTGGTTAATTTGAATTACGTTGTATTAAATTTGCGATGGCTGCTGCGAAACATCGAAAATACTTGCGTTGTGTGCCGAAAACGCAAAGCGCAAACCGTAACTCATATGATGGCTGATCTGCCCATTGAGAGGCTGGGTTACAAGCAACCTCTTTTCTCTTACACAGGTGTCGACTACTTTGGGCCATTCCTAGTTCCAATCCGGAGAAGTACGGAAAAGAGGTGGGGTTTTTTGTTCACCTGTCTCACCACTAGAGCGGTGCACATTGAAGTGGTCCCTCGCTCGACAAAAGCTCTGGTGTGATGGGCGTGGAGATGTTTATCGCGTGGAGAGGTGTCGACTACTTTGGGCCGTTCCTAGTTCCAATCCGGAGAAGTACGGAAAAGAGGTGGGGTTTTTTGTTCACCTGTCTCACCACTAGAGCGCAGCACATTGAAGTGGTCCCCTCGCTCGACAAAAGCTCTGGTGTGATGGGCGTGGAGAGGTTTATCGCACGTCGCGGTACTCCGACTACCATCATGTCCGACAACGGTACGAACTTTGTTGGCGCTGAGAAAGAGCTCTTAGCTTGCGTTGCGAGTTGGAACAAGCTCGCACCCGCTGTTTTTGTTCAGAAAGGGATCAAGTGGAAATTCAATCCACCCAGCGCACAGCACCATAGTGGGTCCTGGGCGCGATTAGTTCGGAGTGTCAAGCGCGTTTTGTATGACATCCTAGGCAACAGGAGAGTAACTGAGGAGATTCTAAGAACCACGCTGTGCCTTGTTGAGCAATCACTTAACGCTAGACCGATAACAGCCGTTAGTTCTGATCGGCTAGATCTAGAAGCGTTGACCTCGAATCATTTTATCCTTGGTCAAGACGCAGCGAGTTTTCCGTCGCTAAGTTTCCGAAGAAAACTTCGACCATAAGAAGCGTTTCGCCATAGCGCAATCATACGTTAACGCAATATGGACACGGTGGATGCGGGAATACGTTCCTTCCCTTAATAGGAGAGCAAAGTGGCACAACCAGTCAGACGTTAAGTTGAAAGCCGGCGACTTGGTTTGGGTCATAGAGCCTGACACTCCACGTGGACATTATCCACTCGCACGTATCCTAAGACTGCACTATGGCAAGGACGGATGCGCGAGATCCGCCGACATAAGGACCGTTACGAGCGAACTGACCCGCCCGGCCGTAAAACTCGCTCCCGTTCTTCCTTGTTTAGGGGTGGAGGATGTTGCAGCGCAAATGTAAATGCATGAGAATATTAAACAAGAGTATATAAGCATATAAAGGCAAATGTATATAGGGACAGTAGCCAAGGGTATACATGGTGCGTCCCGGTGGGTTCGGCGCCGGTTCGAATCCCGCCTAGGTCATTTCCTTTCTGGAACTCGAATATGCACCGAACTTGATGTGATGCTCCGTAACCAGGTTCGATCCCCCCAAAACCAATTTTAACCGTCTTTTCGCTCTAATTTGGTTCATCCTTGATTAAGGCTGACCTTCAAAAAGGGCAATTTGTCTCAAGGACAAATACTGGCCATTTTGCATCTTGCTTTGATTTATGCAGTGTTTTGTGGCCGATGTTACCGATGTTAACAATACAAAAGTTTGTTAAAAATATCATTCTTACCGATAAATTGAGTATCATTGTTACCGAGTTATTTTGCCGATAAAATGCTCGAATTAAATTGTTTGAAAACCGATATTTTTACAATCCGTGGAGATTGAGGCGCACAGGACTACTTGCAGTGTCGGAAGGTAGATTATTCAATTTTCTGGGTTACAAATCACTTTTTCCAATCCAATATGGTAAACTAAGCGGCCATTTGTCGGTACCAAATTGTGATGCTTTTTTTCCAATTTCTCGGATGACCATTGTTCATTAGTTTTGTTGATTATTCGTCAGACTCATAAGGATTATAGACTTGAAAACGCTTTCTACCTCGGCTTTTTTTCAATTCACTTTCACAGGTCTCATGATGCTTTCAATAATCAGGACGATTTTAGGTAGTTGGATGATGTACCGTATTTGGAAAACCACTACCGTGAAATCAGTGATATGTGATCTTTTTATTGTTTTGGTTCTAAGCAACCGCTTTTCATCAATTTTGGATTAGAATAACTGGGTATTATTAGCTGCCCTACCATCAATACCTTTCATACTTAACCGTACCCTTTTAAATGCAAGCTTTTGTGTAATTAATGGGTAATTTGCGATTCATTGGAAAATGCGTGATCCGAGTATTGGACGTTTCTTGGGTCAAAAAAATATCTGCTCCTACGCATCCTTGAATTGTTTAAGTGCATGCTAGCACTCCTGACAGCCAAGGAAAAAAATGTGTCGATCCACCAAGAGCCACACATCTAAGTGGTTCATGGGGAACAAAATTTGGCAGCTGATAGCAGCTGTTAGCAGTTCTATTCAATTTCATTCCCATTTACAGCCTTATTATCCTGTGAGCGCGGACGCGATTTAGAACTACCGCTACGCCTTCTTATTTTATGTTTGGGCATCGCTGCGCAAGTTTTTTGTCTTCATTTGTTTTACGAATGATTTGAAATTGGTATTTGGTGTATCCGTGCACAATCACGCATAAAAGACTTAGGGTCACGTCGGCAATGGGAGTAAGTACCCTCACTCGAGTAAATCCCAAGAGTAACAATTGTTGCTCTCCAATTGAGCGCGAGATCAAGACTGGTTATCTTGGTTGAGTAGTTGATTCCTCCAGCCCAAGAGGCTGCTTCGCAATCGCTTGCATTACTTCTCTCAATTACGGGAAAATTAACATCGTCGAATCCGATGTTGTGAATAAATCGGCACCCATAGTAGTTTTTCATGTTTTTATTAAAACTCGCTTCGTTTCTGAGTTGTTTGGATGTGGAGAACTTTGCCTCGCAATGTTTGCAGAATAGTTGTTTGAACAATTGAAACTAGATTAGAAACGTTCATGAGAATATGGACTTACCTATAATTCGATAACCACTGGTGTTGAGTCCACTAAATTCTTTTTGCTTATATTTTTAAGTAAGTTAATTAGCTGTCAGTATTGGATACAATGCGGTTTGCAGCGAGCACGGATCAAGAGAGGGCTCAAGAATCCAAATTATCGATTGGGAGGTGGAACTGCAGCCTTTTTGCCGCCGCTCTTGTTACTTCCGAGTATACCTCTGATAGGTGACTACATTACTTTTTACGGTTACCGTACATCTGACAAATGAAACGATCCGAAGAGAGCTACAAAGAGAAAGGAAATGCTACAAAGGTTACAAATGCTACACAGGCTACAAGAGACACAGAAAGGAAATGCTACAAAGGTTACAAATGCTACAATTAAAACAAAAATCACCAATTCTGAAAAAATGTGAGAGGCAATTGAACTTTTCAGAGGCAATGAATTCACTGGACCTCTGCTTGAATTCTTTACATGTATTCTGTCGACAGGTGCTAAACTTTTTTGGTAAGTCTTCAAAAATGGCTTTTGAAATGAAAGCTTTCATTGACTACTGAAAAGCTTACAGTTTTCATGCGTATGGTTATCGAGTTCGAAAAAACAATCACGGTTGCAGGAAATTTTAAAATGAATTTTGTTAGCTCACGGTACATGAAATCTCACAATACATGAATCCAAAGTAAGAAAACGGACGGTAAAAAAAACTTAGAGTTAAAGTATCAGTATAACATTTTTTTGAAGTAGATGACCAACATAAACAAATTTCATTAAACGAATTAGCTCTAATATGTTTAAAAAATTATGTCAGGCTTTCTGCGACAAAAATTTTAATTTTAAGAATCAGTGGTTTCTACATCAATTAAAATTTTTACAGGAAAGCTTGTCGAAAATTTCGTTATTCAGTTTCGCATTTGCAATTATTGCTGGCTGCACAAGCGTAAGTTTAAACTCCTGAAATAAAACTTCACTTCGGAAGCAATTTTTTGGTAAAAACTGCTCAACCTTGGCAAATTGGTGGAGAAGTGTGCTGTGAAATATTAACCTGAGCGTAAAATTGATTTGTCATGAAGTTAAGAAGATCAGCAAGCAAATGGTCGAGTTCAAAATAGTTCACTCTTCGAAGATGTCGTCCCTCTTATCTCAGAAAATAAAATTTGACAACATTGGTGAACCCCCCGCCCCAAATTGGAACTAGAAAAACTAAAGTTATAAAAAGAGGAGCGAGACTAGGGATGATTTGACCCGGGCATACGAACAACGGGACTCCTCAGACCCTTTGGGGGCAAGTGATAACGGTCTCCGGAAAAGTAAATGGCCCTATCAGAACTCCGAATTTAGAGGCGGTATTGGGCTCAAAATTTAGTATGTTGTAAACCTAGTTGAGGGAAGCTTAAGTTTGGAACCCCAGAGTTAACAAGGGCGAGAAAACAAACCAACCCCTAACTTCCGAAAGTCGTTTCTCGACCTCCAATAACCACAGTGGGTTGAAAATTGGAGATATGGTAGGTAGTTGCAAGATAAATTTTGTGTTATAATTTGAATCAAATTCGGCGGGTGAATCGGAAGCTATTAGCACTTGGAAAACGCCCCTTTAGACCGGAAATAGGCAATTTACGCAAAACTATGAACGATGGCCGAATGATTTTAATGCGGTAATCGACGTTAGATATGACCACCGAAAAAACACCCCTTGTGAGTGAAACCCCTCCGGTGACTCCTACCGGTATTAATAGACTTTTCCGGAAAAAGAGACAATGGAAATTAGAAATGGGATAACTTGTGAAGCATTAACCGTATATGGATGGTACTAAAGATTAACGTATTCCCCAAACAAACCCTTGGAAACGACAATGGGTCACCGTGCTAAAAGTTGGGAGTGTAACTCATATATTGGGAAGTAGACAAGAAGCTGATAGAAATATTGTTTTTATAAAGCAACCTTGAGGTAGTAGAGTTAATTCAGAGTGGACTTGGTAAGCAATAGTGTCAGTTTGGATTGGCGAAAGATCTAATAATAGCAAATTAACTAGACCATAGAAAAGTAGTCGCAGAGAAAGCTGATATTGATAGGACGGCAGCATGAGAATTAGGTCCCTTAAATAGTGAAAACGGACGGGGAATTTACTTAGCTTCCCGGAGGTGGATTTTTGGTTTGATTTGACCCCTAATAGACGATTTACCTTATCCTGATAGCTGGAAGATCGGTATTAGAATAGAGTACCGATCGAAGTTTTAGATGCTTGGAATGAATTAGCTACCCATTAAAAGGGTCTCCACCTACCCTTGGAAGGTCGGAACGTTAACGTGATAATTAAAAAAAAAAGACCTGGTCAGGTTCACTGAGTAAACATAGCATGGTTT